AAAAAAAAAAAATCTTGGAGTAAACTAGCAAAGCCACACACTGAGCTCAGGGGACTCTCCGTTTCATCCCATCGCGGAGATGGCACAGAACAGGAATGAAGCCACCTGGGGCGTGGAAAAGCCTAAGCACAGGCGAGGCTTGGCCACTCAGTCCGCGGGGCCTGGAGCAGCCGGGTTCCAGGACTCATCGCGGCGGCAGTGGCGGCGGCTCACAGAGGCCTCCCCAGACCTGTGTTCTGGGAGGGCGGAGAGAGGATGCCCCGCCCAGATGACATAGGGAAGGCGGAGCCAGGAAGGTCACTTGACCTCTCCGAAGCTCAGGGAAACAACCCCACCTGCCTCCACGAGACGGTGCTGTTGAGTTGCTTTGCTGCTCTATTGTTCAGATAAGGGGGCAAGGTGGGGCAGTCTCACTGGTGTCAGGGCTGCGGGTTCAGGTCTTGGGTTGGGTGCATGTCGCTGCCAGGGGACAAGATCATTGGCAGGACTCAAATGATGTCTTCCTAGTAGAGTACGATTGGGGTGGGGGGTAACCCCAGGGGTGGAGAGTCCTCCCTACGCTCTGGGGAAACTGCCCCCTCTGCCCTTTTCCTCTGGGGCCTGAGAGTACAACGTGGGACCACCTCCAAGCCCCCCTGTCTGACTCCCCTCCCAGTTCTGAGCCTGCTTTCAGCAAGCTAGCCCCGGCCTCCATCTCTACTCTCAAGCAAGCCCAACTCTCCCTTGTATTCCCTTGACAGCAACCACTGAGGCAGAGAGGAAGCTCACTCGCTGCGCCCAAATCTCAGAAATCTCACATTTCTCTATCCCTTTACAGCCTATCTCCTTTGGGGATGGAAACTTTTGCCAGACCCCACTTCCAAGGTAGTGAGAGGCAACGGGGTTCTTAAGATGTCCAGAGCATGCTGGGCTTCCATCCCCACTGCTGACTGCCACTGTGCTCTGCCCTCTTTCCAGGCCCATGTGACCATCCATGGATTCTATGCCACACTTAAGCAAGAGGTTCACTGCCCAACTGGGAACCAGGGTCCATCATCCCTAGACAATCACAAGGTCCCTCCCTACTAGGATCCTATCACCACTAGGGCCCACGAAACCATCCCTTCCCAATCTTTGAGTTTGCTCCCTCAACCCTTCCTCCTCCCTGATGCCCCTTGCACCTCTGAAACTCTAGTATTTCACACCCCAGGACAGCCCACCCTCCCCCAGGGACCACCCAAATCTACCCTTCTTGGTGACAAAACTTAAGTAAAAAGACATCCCAGTGTTTCAGGAACACAAAGCAGACCTCTCCTTCCGCAGGTAGAGGTGGGGAAGACAGAAACCAACAACACTTCATTCCTTTTCCTAATCATTCTCTCTCCTACACCATTTACAGAGTGCTGACTATGCATCAAGCACAATGCCAAACCCTCCGCCTGCGTGAGATCATTTAATCCTGCATTGGCCGTATGTAGCAAAGGCCCTTATTTCCCACCTTGTAAAAGAGGAACATGGGGATCAGGATCTCGCCCAAACTCTCAGGCTATTTAGCATAGGACTCCAGCCTGAGCTATCTGAATCCAAAGCCTTTAGACCCCTTGCCCAAACTAAGTCCTTCATCAATCCCAGCCCCACCCTTGACTTCCTCTAGAAGTTTCCTTCTGGAAGCCAAATGAATGAGCGAGTAAAACTGATACAGGACTATTCAACTCTTTCCTAGCTTGGGGCAGCGAGCCCCACCCACCTCTGGAATCTTCACTACTCACTCAGGTGAGGCTCCTCCTCTTCCCACTCCTTTACCAGACCTCCAAAGAAAGGAAAAGACACTCCCACCAAGAGGCGACTCCTACAACCCTGGCTCTAAAGGTTCATTTGCTCATCGGATTCTCTTATCAACCCCAAGAAGTAGGGTTTATCATCCTATCTATACCAGTGAAGAAAACAGACTCATATTTTTCCAAGGTCACAGCTGATATAGAACTGAGCCAAGGTTAGAAACTCATCTAAGAGCCTCTAAAAATGCCCTCATCGTGGATGGTTAGTCACCATGCACAAAAGGCAGCTCACCCAGTGTCACTGACACAGCTGTGCCTGGGCTGGCAGTATACCCGGCATTGGGCTATAGGCCTTGCATACATTCTTCCAGCAAATCCTCAGAAGCCCACAAGGTAGGTACTGTCATTATTGCCCATTTTACAGAAGTCGAAACTGAGGCTTGGAGGTGGTAATCAACTGGACCTAAATTAACTAAGTCTAAGCAGGATTAGACCAGCCCTGGGGCAAGAGTAGATAAGAGGAGAGAAAGAATGTCAGTGAAGCTTGAACCCAATACATACTTATAAGCTTGAGTTCTTATCTTGGGTTCACAGATCTCCATGGAAGAGCTTCAGGGGACCCATAAAATCCACAAAGTTGCGTTATAATGCAAATCTATGTGTGCTTATTTGAAAGTAGGGAACAGGGGAGGAGATCTATAAGCTTCAATATTTTCTCCAAGAAATCCCTGTTCAAAAATGTTAAAAATGCTCAAACTAGCACAGTGTCCAACACATAAAGGCACTCAATATCTGGCAAATGAATGAATGAGTGAATGACTGAATGTTCTTCCTTGCCCTAAGAGACACCACTTGTGACCGGGTACACGTGTCTATCTGTATCTTCTGAGATGGTGAAAGCCATCCTGGGACCTGAGCCCAACCCACCCCCAGGCCCTTTCTCCCAGTCCCAGAGGCCACAGCCAGGTGCTATGATAAGTTCCAAAGACATGCTTCTCCCGCCTCCTCCCCACCTCCACACCTAACAATGACCAGGCAGAGACAGAATTGTGCAACTCAGATCATGAAGCATGTATTGATTGCCAGGCGGGAGGAAGGGTGAAAATAGGGTCCAGGTGTGAAGTGCTTGGGAGGCAGGAGAGAGGATCCTACAGTGAGATCTGGGTCCATGCAAGGGGTCTCCTAGGCCTGAGCAGTGCTGGGCAGCCTCAGTTCTTGGTGCGAAGGACCTGCTCGTGGGTGGACACCACCTTGCCATCGTGCACATCTACAACCTTGGTGCGGATCTGGCGGCTGGAGGAGGTCACTGGGGAAAAGAGAACAGAGAGTGTTAGCAGAGGCCAACAGTGGAGTAACCAGGAGAGGGGAGGCCAACAAGTTGAGGAAACTTGAACTGTTTCCATGTTGCTCTCTCCTCCAATTATGGCTTCACCCTGCTGTTGCCCAAGCACTATACCATCAACACACTTCTTTCAGATTATGGTCCTCAAAGGTCAGAGAGTGACTGAGATTTCTATGAGCTTAGTCCATGTCAACCCAATACATAACTAGTCTTGGTGGGAAGAGCCATGGAGGGCTGAGCCATTGAGGGCCCTGTCCTTGGTGCTGACATATAACCATGGGGTCTGCCACAAATGGGAGTTAAAGGTGGAGCCCATGCTCCTAGCCCTAGGGAGAGTTTAGAAATTGTCTTCTTCTACTTAAGGAGACTCATAAGAAATACTGAGTAAGACAGTATTGCTCAACTCCTCAAGAAGCCCCTAGGCAGTGCCCTAGACCACTGAGGTACACAGGATGGTCCTGAGCCCAGGCTTGACAAGGAGGAAGGTCTTACCATCTCTGGATGACTGAGAGCCAGAGGAGAACTGGGAGGCCAGGCTGTGAAGACAGAAATGGGCAGGACCATTAGACTCATGGTGGGACAGAGACTAAGCAGTGGGACTGGAGGAGGACTAGGCACTCACTGGGCGTCCTCGCCCTCCAGCAGGCGACGGTATGTGGCGATCTCCTGCTCCAGTCGTGTCTTCACGTCCAGCAGAATCTTGTACTCCTGGTTCTGCTGCTCCATCTCACAGCGCAGCTGAGCCAGCTGCTCCTCCACACCACTAATCAGCTCCTGAATCTGGGCCAGCTGCACGCAGTAGCGGCCTTTGGTCTCCTCCAGGCTGTTCTCCAGGGATGCTTTCTAGTAGGGTAGGAAAGAGGATCAGGCATCAGCGAGCATGGTCTCTCTCTCCCTGCCAGTCCCAGGCGCACCCCAGCTGGGCATTGCTCCTACCATGCTGAGCTGAGACTGCAGCTCAATCTCTAGGCTCTGCATTGTGCGCGGGAGCTCAGAGATCTCGCTCTTGCCACTCTGCACCAGCTCGCTGTTGGTGGCCACCTCACGGTTCAGCTCCTCTGTCTGCAAAAAAGAGAACACCATTCACACCAAAAAGCCCCAGAAGTCAGGTGATCTGGGTCCTTTCCACCCCAAATGACACCTACCTTGCTGAAGAACCAGTCCTCGGCGTCCTTGCGGTTCTTCTCTGCCATCTTCTCATACTGGTCGCGCATCTCATTCAGGATGCGGCTCAGGTCCACACCGGGCGCTGCATCCATCTCCACGTTGACATCTCCGCCCACGTGGCCTCTCAGGGAGTTCATCTCCTGCACAACCAGAGAACAGCTTCCAGTCAGAAGCCTCACTGGGGCAGCTGACTGGGGTTCCCTTTTCCAGTACCACCTCTTCTCTCCCTGCTATTCTTTTTGTTTTTTTAATTTAAGAGATATGGGGTCTCACTGTGTTGCCCATGCTGATCTCAACCTCCTGGGCTGAGGCAATCCTCCTTGATCAGCCTGCTGACTAGCTGGGACCACAGGCACATGCCACCACACCTGCCTCTCTGCTATTCTTTTAAGTAGCTTTTCCATTTAGCTCTCACCTCCTCATGGTTCTTCCTTAGGTAGGCCAGCTCTTCCTTCAGGCTCTCGATCTGCATCTCCAGATCGGCTCTGGCCAGGGTCAGCTCATCCAGCACCCGGCGCAGGCCATTGATGTCGGCCTCCACGCTCATGCGCAGATTCAACTCTGTCTCATACCTGGAATGACCCAGGAGAAAAAGAATGAGACACTCATCCTGTCCACACTGAAGGCTTTGTTCTCTTCCCCCTGCAGCTTCTCCCAGACTGGCACCCCGTGGGCGGTGTAGAGAGCCAATCTTGGAAATAGACCCAGTGCCCATTGATTGCTCAGATCTGAATATTCCTGCAGGCATGGGAATAAGGCAATTCACCAGCCTGCAGATTTCAGGAAAGGGTGCCCTTCTAGCTTCAGCTAACCAATAATTCCTAAGAACTCCAAATATGACTACCTCCTGCCCTACAAGGGCAAGTGGGCGAGCAGGAAGCTTCTCTCCCTAAAGCAGTCTTTCCCAAACCTGGCTGTGGATCAGAATCAGCCAGGTAATCTGCTACAAATAACTGCATCAAAACTCCAAGGTCAGGGCCTTGTCTTTTCACAAGCACCCGGGGAGGGGGGGGTTCATGCAGCTCTCTTGGCACTGGCCAGCTCTATTGAGAAATACTGCTCCAAAAGTGCCCCACTCTGGGCAGCCTGGATGTTCTGAGCCACCACTGCGAACTCACTTGGTGCGGAAGTCATCAGCAGCCAGACGGGCATTATCAATCTGCAGGAGGACATTGGCATTGTCCACAGTGGCCACAAGGATCTATGGGATGGAAAAGACACAGATCATTTGTCAAATGAATGCCATGAGACAGACTTCACTGCTACCGGCATCCGGCTTCTGTTTTCCTGTTCTTCTCTGAATGTTCTCCACTTCCCTGTGATCCTTGGCCACAGCAGTCTAGAGGAAAAGCCCAGGCAGTCCAGGTTTGGCCCAAGACTTTGCTAATTCATGGTCAGCAAAGGTGCTAGAAGCAGCCCTGGCCTTAAAATCAAAACCCCAGAGTTCTGGGCCCCGTTCTACACATGGACTTGCTGCAAAACCTAACATGGGCTTGGGGCTTTCAGGTTCCCACCTACAGATGAGAGGAGTGGCCTAAGGCTCCTGGCTCCCCTTTCTGACTGGGACTATCCTCTCTCTGCATTAGCCAGCTCTGTGGGTCCTTTGCAGACACACACTTTCCTTTCAAGCCTATGGGACATGGGATCTCAGGTGGGATTCTCCCAAGAGGTGAAGATCCAGGTGGGATTCTCCCAAGAGGTGAAGAGGAGATCCAGCTGGTCCAGAAGAATACACGGGAGGACTAAGAAGGCAGGCTGAACCCTGAGCCTGGCTGGGGTTCCTTCCCTCATCATGGAGTTTCCCTAATCCATGCAAGGCATCAGAACCAGGCGGGTGACATGGGGGTTGGGAGAAGGCACAATTCAGAGGGCACAAGCCCAACATGCTCCTTCTATGTCAGATGCATAAGGGCCACTTTGATCATATCTGTGGGGTTTTCATGCCCGCCTGGCTGTAGGGAGGGGCCAGCCAGCCCCAAGGCTCTTGGGCGGTGGCAGCCACAGCCTAGACTCAGGAGCTAATGAGCAGTTTGGGTGTCTAGCCTGGTCCCGTTACAGCCTCACTCCTCCCTTGTGCCAGAGAACAGGTAGCTGCCTCCTGTGCTGGAAGGTGGGGCTCAAGGGCTGTTGCCCTGGCTCTGCCATTTATTTGGTGTGTGACCTTCAGCAGGTCACAGCAACTCTCAAAGCTTCCACTTCTTCCTCTGTAAAATGTAAGAATAGGAATCACTGGTCTAGTCTGAGAATTAGAGGCCAGAAGAGTTTGAGAAGGTAGGGTAGGGACCCCATCTGCTCAGAGACCAGCTCTGTTGGGGGCACCCAAGCCCTCAGAAGAAGAGACCAGGGTGGAGTCTGTCCTGCACAGAAATCTAAAGGTGCCAGTGGCCTGAGGCATCTAGTGTTCCCAGAGTCAGGGAGCTGGAATGGCACCTCCTTCTGCCCAGTCACCCACCTTGTTCCTCAGGTCCTCGATGGTCTTAAAGTAGGGGCTATAGTCTTTGCTTTCAGCGGGCCGCTGCCTCTGATACCAGTCACGGATCTTCACCTCCAGGTCAGCGTTGGCCTCCTCCAAGGCGCGCACCTTGTCCAGGTAGGAGGCCAGGCGGTCGTTCAGGTTCTGCATGGTCACCTTCTCATTGCCCGCCAGGAGCCCGTCACCACCGCCAAAGCCACCACCGAAGCCAGCACCCAAGCCAGCACCGAAGCCACCACCAAGGCCACCACCAAATCCTCCACCAAAGCCGCTACCTAGGCCCCCACCAAAGCTGCTGCCGCTGCTGAAGCCACCGCCATAACCGCCCCCCAGCCCGCAGGCTCCCCCAGAGGAGAAGCGAGAGGTGGAGACAGACAGGCCCCCATAGGCACTGGGGGCCCGGCAGGACCCTCCAGCCAGGACAGAGGAGATGCGGCTGGAACCACCGCCGATGCCACAGGAGCCCTTCATGGAGCTGGAGGAGGTGAACTGGCGGCTGCAGGTGGTCATGGTGCTGAGGAGGTGAGGGAGTGAGCCAGCGAATTGACGGAGAGAAGAGAGGTAAGTTGGAAAAGGATGCAAGAGCTTTATACTCGTGAGTAGGGGGCGGGCCTGGCATTTTCCATTCCCCTTGGCTGTCATCACCCACAGGCTGGTGCCAACTCCCAACCAGATCCCGCCTCTCCTCCGCCTCATCTTGTCTGTCATATTTTACTGGAAACTCATTGTTTGAGGTGTTTTTGGCTTTCTTGTCCTGCCAGGCGTGATTCACGCAGGGAGGTGTGGGCCTGCAGGCTACACTTTCCCATCGGACCCTGGGAGCCGCAGCCTTCCGGAGCCCGCAACCCAGACTCAGGCAGGGTGTTCAAGAACAGGCCTCTGTGCCATTAATCTGGTGACCTGTGGGTTCCCCGCTGCCTGGATCGGCCTTCTCCCTGCACTTAGAGGAAGCCCACCACTGCAGGGGGCTGACACATGGCTGGAGGAGCACCTGCACGGCCAGGTGACCTGGGCACAGGCACTCCATTCTCAGCACTGCCACCCAATAAAGGACACAAGCAGGTCTCACAGACCTTCCCAAGGCTGACCTGTTAGGCTGTGCTATGGGGCCTGTCACATTCTTGCAACACACCCAGCCAGTCAGGTGGCTCAGACCTCCACTCTGACACCCTCACTGAAGGGAAATCCAGGCAGCTCTCCCCTGCCCTGGGCATGGGCCCTAACTAATGTCCTCCGTAAAGGGAGGACCTCACATCTCCCATATGACTGCAGCATTGGCTGCTCAGTCTGGCCAAGGACAGGTACCCTCATCACCACAGCCAGAGACATCGGGGAAGAGCATGGAGTCCACTGAGTCCTGGCTCTGCCACTTAGCCAGGACTTGATAATTCTCTGAGCCTTGGTTTGCTCATCTGCAAAGTGGGAGTAAATACCAACCACTCTGCCTGCTTCAGTCAGCTCCAAGAATCCCACATGACAACATAGATAAAATGTTTCCTAACCCAAGGGGGCATGAAGCTTGGTCAGCATGCTGTAGCCCAGCGTCTTGGCCCCATAGGGAGTGGAGCAGCACCTTACTAGATCAAACCAAAGAGGGAGACTTTTTGCTTCCAGCCCCAGGTTTGTCAGACCCCAGAGCAACCCCAGCGTGGGGAAAAGTCTGGTCCAGCCATCCTCACTGAGCCCTTGTGGAGTTGGCCCCAGGGATGGGTCTGGGAAGGATGCAGGCATGGGGCAGGGTGTGGCCAGGGTATGGCCAGAGTGGACATATGGGTCCCCAACTCTCAGGGTCCTGAGGGTCACTGGACATTTCCAAGCGTCCATCTGTTCCTGCTTTAAAGGTTTGTATATTAAGATCTCAACTATATCACGCTCCCAACAACCTCCAAAAGCAACGCCTCCCAGCCCCCTCCGCACCTCCCATCAGCCCCTCGGCTCCTCGGACCCCGGCAGGCATGTCGGGAGGAATGCAGTCGTGTCTGGGGCTGCCTGACACATCCTATCTCCCCAGACAGGCCCCAACAGCCCCTGCTGGAGGCTCCAACGCTCTTCTTAGGATCAACTGCTCCCAAAGAGGAAGCAGCGCCCTCCCCCAGCCACACCCCACCCCCTTGACCGTCACCAAAGCAGAAGTCAGGGAGGTTCCCCCCCCCCAGTCATGGCCCAGGAGTTCAGAAGACAATGCTGAGACAGACACTTGAGGCTGCGGGCTCCCCAAATCTGCCTCGGCAAGGACTCTCGAGGATGTGAGTAAGCCAGGGCCCCACCCACTGCACCGCCCCTGACAGACACTCCTAATCTCCTTCTAGAAAATGGTCCCCCCACCCTGGCCCAGCCCTACAATTTCCCCAGTGAGAGGCAGCACGGATTTTGGCTGAGGGACAGAGGCTTTTGTTGGAGACATGCTGCTGTTGGTTGTGAGTGGGTGTGGGGTGCAGGGTGGGGGTGGGGGCTGCTTCCTGGAGAAAAGTGCTGCGTCCAGAGGGATCCCAAGCAGCAGCAGAGGGATCCGGAGCAGGAGCAGAGTACAGAGCCCCAAGCCAGTGCCCCCCACCCATCTCCCTCCTCTGCAGGGACCAAGCATAGGTTCAATGAAAGCCAAAAGACACTCCTTTCTCCCCCGCTCCAGGGGGAATCTAAAAGATAAAGCTGGTAGAGAGCCACAACACATAAACCCCTGTGCACAACTTATAAAGACACCTTTGCTGGCCTCTGCCTCCAGCCCCAGCATGGACTCTGGAGCCCCAGCATGGAATACAAGTCTGATCTTCTCCCCCACCTGGATTAGGGCCCTGGCCCAAGCTAGAGCTTGAGGCCAACACCCCTGCCCTGTAGAAATGGACTCAGTGACCAAGGAGCTACCAATGACCCAGCCAGACAGGGGACAGAGATTCAGAGGACAGCACTCTCCAGTCTCCTCCCCGGTGCCACAGAGGCCTGATACTCATGACATTTCAAGGGGAATGTCTGGGGCAGCAGGTGTTAATGGGTTGGGGGCATCTGCCTGCTGGACCTGGAGCACCCATACACCTGGTCTTCAGGAGGGAGCTATTCATAGACACCATGGTCTGACCCTCCCTCCCACCTGCCTCCAGGTGGGGGTCAGGGAGGAACCCAGGTGGAGCCTCTTGTGGTCAGCTTGTCTCCTGGCACCGCCCAGCAGCAGAAAGACTTCTGCCAATCCAAACAGGTGAGGCGGCAGGGCCAGGCAGCCCCTCACAGAGCCCACATTGTGTTCTGGAGACCAGCTGGGCGCTAGAAGGGGGGGGGGCGCCTAAGGGAGGAGGGGCCTCAGGACAGGAGGGAGGCATGGCCCCTACCCTCAGAGCCCACGGGCTAGTGGAAGAGACTGTCCCTCCCTGTAGAAAGCCTCCAGCCTGAAAGGGAAAGGGAGACACACTTCAAAATTATTTAAGATATGAACAAATATAAGAAAAGTGTGGACCATGTCCATTAGTTTCCCAGGGCTGCTGTTATCGATCTCTACAACAGAAATGTATTCTGTCACCCTTCTGGGGTCTATAGCCCCAAATCGAAGTGTTGGCAGGGCCATATTCCCCCTGAATACTCTAGAGAAGAATGTGTCCACATCTCTCCCAACTTCTGATCCCATGGCTTGTGGCAGCATCACTCCAATCTCTGACTCCATCTTCATGCAGCCTTCATCTCTGTGTCTCTGCATTTCTTTTTCTGTCTCTTGTAAGGACATTCCTTGGATTCAGTGCCCATCCCTAATCCAGTGCGATCTCATTTCAAACCTTACCTTAATGACATCTGTAAAGACCCTATTTCCAAATAAGGTCACATTCAAAGGTTCCAGGTGGACATGAGTTTGGGGGATGCTATTCAATTCACTCTACTATGGAACAGATGGGTGCTAGCCCCATTGCAGGGCCAGTGGTGAAATCTTGCTGGGGAGATGGTTGAGATAAGATATGGGCGGCCTAATCTGGAAGGCTTCCGGGATCTGCTTTAGCTCGGCACCCAAGTGTGCCGGGAACTGGGCATCAGGGAGGCTTAGAATTCTCAGGTCTTAGGTCCATGCTTTCTACCACCCAGTTTCTCTGGCTTCTTCAAACAGCTAGCTGCTCTACAAGAGAGCTTTTTTCTCTTTTAACTTTTTATTTTGAAATAATTTTAGACTTTTAGAAAATGTTATGAACTAGTAAGAGAGTTTATGTGTATGGAAGCCCTTCACTCAGCTGCCCCTAATGTGGACATATCGCGTAAGTGTGGTCTAATTTTCAAAATCAGTAAATTAACATTGACACAATACTGTTCATTAACTATAGGCTTGAGTGAATTTCTACCAGCATT